GATGTGGTGCTCCAAGTTACGCAGATAAGAGCTATGCGACTACTGATACGGTCCATGTCCATGCCGCTAAGGGGAAGTACAATTTGTGGAGACTTATTGCTATTAACACCTTCCGTGGGCAGGAAATTACACGTATTGTTTATCAAAAAATGCATCTTTGTGCAATTAAAAACCGACATATCAATGCACTGTAGTCTAGAAAATGATGAATTCCTGGCGTAAATAAACAGCAAGTGTACAAAAAACTTGAGATTTTGTATTTTACACTCAAAAATTTATACGGTTTAAGTTGCTAAGATATCTGTAAGTCGACTAAGACGCTTTTTACAAATTCAAACTAAATCTATGTAGTGCTGCGATGCTGGGATTCCACGATATCATAATTAGATTTACTCGACGCTCAACGTCTAAATGAAAAAAAAAAAAGATTGGGTTTCTCATTAAAGTATTATTCACGTGTTTTTCAAGTAGTACGCATGATGTAAAGTCACAACTCAACCCCATTACGGTGCAAAAAATTGATTTTGTGTTTGGAATGAAACATTACGATTACTTATATAAGAAGTTGGTCTAATGGAAACTGTCAGAGGCCTAATTATAAACGAATATTTATTTGTTGTTCAGTTTTTTATATGCACAAAATGCAAAGCGAAATGAAAATCAAACGTTAAACGAGGGTCTAATCAAAGAGGCAAGATGTGGAATGGTATGATATGGGGAAAAGTTGAGTGATGCAAACGACGAGACAGTTTGAGGGCGGGACACAAATTCCGCCGATGAAATTTCATGGAGCTTTGCTGTGTAACCAGGCCTGCATAACCCGGAAGTAAATTAATCTTAATCGGTAGACAACCGCCTCTCTACTTTGACCTTAATAGTACGTTAAAATAAAGGATACTTGTCAGCGCACCATCACCTCATTGGCTTCTCAATTATATACTTTAACTGTGCAATGTCAGTAGCAGGTACTTCCAACGCGTATATAATATGAAATGAACATGAGGTTGCAGTGTCAGGTTCCACGAATGAAAGATGTTTCAAAGATATTTTGATGCATTACATAGTCTTAAAAGCTTTGTGATGATGACGCTATCTATTGTAAGTTGAGGGGTTTGCTACAGGACAAAATGCGACTGCTCATAAAAAAATTCCTCACTAGTTGTATGAGTAAAATAGACTTTGTCGTTAGCTATTACAATGAGTATGACAAATATTCAGTTTCTACTTCAGTTTTTAAAACCGGTAAAGTCGGATTTCAGTAACTCAAACAAATTTATAAAACCAAATAATTCTACCAAATGCATTACCAAAGCCAGTAGCAACAAATACTAGTTTTGTCATCATATTTTCACCAAATACGGCTGCGGTTGCCTCAATTTATGATTATGACCACAACTATGCCAAATGCCCACAATAAGGGTTTGCCAAAGTTAAGTAATTTTAAATCTTCAGTCAAAAATTAGAAGAGTGCGAATATTTCATATTCCTCAATTGATTTTCTTAAGAATTTATAGCCTGGCATAAAAGAGTGACAGGTCCTTTTGCTTTCAAAATAGCGGTGATGCAATTTCGCGCCACTATTGTGATGCCAGTTGACAATTGGACATTAGATAAGATATCCCATAAGATTAGCAACGGTAACAAATGATACATCTTCAACTATCCATTTATCTGGTTAAGTATAGTTTAAAATTTCTGTGATTCGTGAATCCTTTATGGCAGAGATCCTCCTAAATTTAAGTCAAGTGCCATCACCTTCGTTACACATGAGGCAAGACCATCTTTGAGATCATGCGGTGCAGAGCCAACAAACACGGCTCCTGTTGGCGCAGCATCAACGTGGCAACGCTTGTCAGTTGAAACCGTGGTGTGCAAACCTCATTCATTTCACATTTTCGAGTCAACTTGAGGAGTGTGCAAAGGTAGATAGACTCACATTTAATTTGGAACCTTAACTGCACGATTAATTTTATACACACTTTGTGCACACTTTAAACACAGTAACCGTGTTCACAGTGCACTCACCTTGTAGTAACGGCATGACAGCTTGACGACAAAATCGATCCTACCCTCAATTTCATGATCACTTAGACGGAACTGTGTGTGCTTCGTGAAAAAGTAATCTGGGTATGAGTTTTCCTCAATGCTGTCATGAGACAACATCACGTGTGGTTAGAAATCTACGAGGCATATTGACAATACAAAAGTACCCCCTCCCCTCCCATATGTATTGCTTAACTCATCAAAACGAAATTATCTTTTTCTTACCAATTTATTCTACTTGCTCTCTCTGACGTAACTCTCCAATTGCACAAAAATGGCTGAATAATTAGCTGTTCAATGCGCCCCACGATGTACATCAAACTAGTGAATTATATATCATTGCAATAATCTTCAACTTTCTTCATATTTGCACCTATTTACGCCATTGTTGCATAGTTGTGCTAACACTTTTCCTCGATGACCTCACGATGGTTGCCCGGAATGTAGTAAGACACCCACACACCCACACGACTTTCAACTTCAGCCGTGGAGTCATGATCCGTACTTTCTACAATTCGAGTCTTCGTGAATCGTCTTTTTTGAAAAATCATTTCAATGGCTATAATCGTAGACGAGTTTGGTGTCGAATAGGTACCTCCTTCTCCCTCCTTGCTTGTAAGTGTCGTCCGACTGTTCAGTTTACCTTGAAAGATGTCCAATTTCAGGCAAAGCAAAATATTTTAAATGAGCGTTGTTTAAAGCAATGCACCCATCTGACCAAAACGATTTGTGAACTAATTTCGTGTTGGCGGTGCCTACACCCTTCGTGTCCCTAGGAGATTAAGGCAAAAATATACAATGCACAACATTTCGGTAACTGCGATCAAAGACCAACATGTAGATAGATAGATAAACCTTAAATAAAGCAAAACTCCCGACTTATGAAACATAAACCATCTAATTTTATCGAGCATTAAATTTAACTTCTACATAGTCATTGTTTTGTGAGCATGACTGATTGAGAAAGGCAACTTCGCTTTTAAAGTATGCGATTTAGTCTGAAATCAATGCAACACGGGTATCTCGAAGCACCAGTAAAATGTTCGGTGGGTGATTAGAGTAATTTTTACACATTGAGATGATGAATGGATTGTGTAATTGGTTGTTTTTTATTGGCGAATATGATCTTGAAAACGAGTCATGTAGTAGAATCGGGTTACAACTGAAGTAAGCAACGAATGCGTTCACCTACTAATTTCAATGCACACGAATAAATAAGCGGCAAGTTGTGACTTGATTAGTACTTCAACAAAATAAGTACACAAATTCAAGCGAAACGGGAAGGCCAAGAACATAAAATTGATGAGTTCCAGGCCTAAATGCAAATGTGTTTTCAACATCCTTCTTTTGTTGTTGTTGCTGTTGTTGTTGTTGTTGTTGTTGCGATATAAGCTCAATCATGCTACTGCATTGGAACCGTTACGTGTTACCCAGAATTAATGCTATCCGACAATCTACGACATATTTAAA